ATGGATCCTCCATATGCCGGTCTTAGCCAAACCCAAGCCCAGGGCTAATAGTTTAGAGGACCATCCACATGAGTTTTCAAAAGAGTAAGGGATCAAGCTAAGCATATTTGGTTAAGGGTTTAGCTTGTGAGTGAAGGTGAGGGGTATCAAGTTTGTGTGTGAAACACTGACCAAGAGACACCACTCAGGGTTAACCCTAACGCCGAACAGTCCTATGGAGACTCTTCTTGAGCTCCCCCATATTGGCTCCACCTACTAAGTGCTAGATATTAGAACCAACACGTGGAACTTCAAGATGAACAAATAAGAGATTTATAATTTCTAATGGCTAGGGTTCCTTTACTAGTTTTTTAGGAATAACTAATAAAAAAATCCTATGGCTAGAGACTAAACCTCAACCAAAAGTGAGGGCAACACTTATCAATTTATAATATTCTCTCAAAAAAATTTTGTGATGCTCTGTGATGTAATGCTTCACTCCATGAAGTTTATGTGAGTGAAAAGAATTTCTTTTTATCATAATATTTTAAAATGAGTTAGTGACATGTCTAAAATATGTTACTTTTATTTGCACATTTAATGCCTATTTTTAATGATATTGTGTTTTAATGTAAGCTATTTTTGATGTTTTTGATTACAGGTACACTAAATGGAGCAAGTGGAGCAAATGGAATGAAAAGAGAGCAATCTGGAGCCATAAGAAGCAAAAAGGCCAAAGTTGACCTGACGCCTTGACGACAGGATCTAGCGCTTAGTCATCAGACAACAGAGAGACTGACACATAGGCACTAAAAACAGTTTTCTAGATGGTTCAATGAATGTAAACGAATTTTAGGGGGGTACTGAAGTGACTTTTGGGGATTTTGAGAGCTCCATTTAAATAGACTTCTGGAGAGTCCAAGGAGAGCCTTTTGGAGGGAGAGCCTTTTGAAGGGAGAGTATTTTAAGGAAGAGCTTTTTGGAGAGGGAGAGAGAAGGGCTTGGAAATTCTTACAGGCTTGAAGGATTTCCTTAGTGGCTTTCTTAGATTTGAAGGAGAAGAGGAGAAGTGAGAGATATCTTCTTCACTGCAATTCTAAGTGAGATTGGAGTGGAATTGTAAGGAGAGAGAGAGAGAGAGAGAGTGATTCAAAGGAACTAGAAGGATTGCTTGGGAAGGAGTTTAAGACAAGTTGTGTATTTTGTTTATTTTACTTAATTTATTTTTGTAAACTTATATTTATCTATAAATCCATGTGTTGTTGTCTTCCCCATGAGATATAAGTAGTTTCTTTTGTCTTTCTCTTTGCAATGAGGAATAATTATGTTTAGGAATAAGGTTTCAGTAGAAGTACTTTTAATACTATAAATTGTCATGATTTAAACTCTATGCTTAATTTAGTTATCGCTCCGGTTAATTGATTTGTTAAAATATGTTGTGAAGCATAATGACCCGAAAGGACTATGCTTTCATCAACATAGTAAGGGTCACATTTAGTCTCATGGATGAGAATGTAGTCCATGGGGTTAAGTGCAAATAAATAAGGAAAGAAGTTTTGATGGGCATAAATTTGAGATTTTAGAGTGACGGGCTATGATAAAATTTCCAATTTGATCCAAATGTTTGGAACATAAAGCGAGATGTTAGCCTTTAGGTGAAGGGTAAGTGAGAACTCTAGAGTGACAGCTAGTATCTTCCCAGCTTAACTACATATTTAGACACTTAACTCTGGATTAGCCAATATTTTTTATGCACTCAAGAGAGGGTAAAGAACATGTAAGCTCCTATTTGGCACAATACATTAATTATATTTAAACTTATTTGATTCCTACATTGATTATAAACTCATTGTAAGGGGAATGATATTTTATACAATTTGAACTCTTCTATACATCGTTACTTTAGAATTACTTCGTGGTAACTTTACATTTGGTTTTTTAGATTGCCTTACATTTGTATTATGTATTTGTTTAGCAAACTTAACATTCTTTTAAATTTTGTAGGATTAGTTAATACATAAAATTTTTTTATCATTTCTTAAATAAGTTAACTACAGTTTAAGGAGGATTCAACTAAAGTCAAACTACAAGAGTTTTTCCTATCCCTGTGAGATCAATACTTAGGACTCTATTAGAGCTTTATATTACTTGAAACATACGTATAGTTGCACAGTACCCCTAGTGTGTGAACAATTCTATCAACTTTACATAATATTTAATTTTGTACACTAGCCGCTTAATACAAATTAGGTCAAGCTTTTGACCATCTTTCAGGACTTTGCATAATTGTGATTCTTGTCAGTTAGCATTAGCATAATGACACAATCCATGTATTTGTCTCATAGCAGTAGTGATAGTGATCAGGACAATGAGGATGAGTTAAAATGTACTTTTGAGGCATTTCTTATAGAGTTTTTCAAAGTAAACCCAAGGCCTGTCAATGCATAATATTCTCTCAAAAAAATTTCATGATGCTCTGTCATGTAATGCTTCACTCCAAGAAGTGTATGTGAGTGAAATTTTTTTTTTTACCATAATATTTGAAATTGGGTTTGCATAAGCAAGATGAAGCAATCCATGTATTTGTCTCCTAGCAGTGATGATAGAGATCATGTCAATGATGATCAATGAAAATGTACTTTTGAGGCATTTCTTATAGAATTTTTTGAAGTAAAATCTAAGGCCCATATTTGCATAATGTTCTCTCAGAAAAATTTTATGATGCTCTATGATGTAATGTTTCACTCCATGAAGTTTATACGGGCGAAAAAGTTTCTTTTTACCATAATCTTTGAAATTTGGTTTGCATGAGCATGATGAAACAATCCATCTATTTGTCTTCTAGCAGCGGTGATATTGATCATGACAATGATGATCAATGGAAGTGTACTTTTTGAGACATTTCTTATAAACTTTTGAAAGTAAACACAAGGGCTACCAATGCATAATATTTTCTCTAAGAAGTTTCATGATGCTTTGTGATGTCATGCTTCACTCCATGAAGTTTTTGTATGTGAAAAGAATTTCCTTTTACCATAATCTTTTAAATTGTGTTGGCATGAGCATGATGAAGCAATCCATCAATCATTTTTTGAAAACACCAAACTTTGTGGCAACAAAAAATTATAAAAACACATTGAAGTGAAATGCTCTTCACACTGCATAAATTGATCCCCTTTTCTGCTATCCAAAATTGATCTCATCAGGATTGCATAAATTGATCCCCTTTTCTGCTATCCAAAATTAATCTCATCAGGATACAATGGTGCCATCACAACAATAACACCACAGCCTCAATCACAACAAACGGAAGGGGAATCACCAACACCACAAATTCACCACCATCAAAATAATAACACCACCACCTCCATCACAACAAACAGAAGGAGAAAAACTAACACCATCGCCTCCATCACCACCATCAAAGACCAACACAGTCATAAAAAAGTTCCAAAAGAGACATCAACATCCAATAGAAACGATAAACCAAAATGACGTATGCGAAAAATGATAGAAAATGAGATACCAGAGTCCAAAACGAGATGTTAGGGCAAACAAAGAACGAAAGATCACACATTTGATTAGGGCAGACGATGAAGCAAGCAATCATAGAGGGGCATCCACGGTAATAGATACCATAAGAAACGTGGGCTGCGAGGTCGAACCTGCAGGCCGCGTTTTGCTTAAAATACTCCTCGATGTGCCCAAACCGCTGCCCCAAATGACTTGAAACTGCGACACGAAGCCGCGCTGCGCCCCGAATGCCTCCCCAAATGGTGCTAAAGCCTTTCTTTAAATAAAGTTCCTCCAAGTTCTTCCCTCACTGTTCCCTCAATAGTTTTATTGAAAAAGAAGAAAAAAGACTAAGAAGAGGCACAGAAGAAGATCAAGATATGTGAAGAAGAAGACCCTTTTTTCCTTGGAGCTCCTCTAAAGTCCCTTCCGAACTGATGGCACAAATGACACTCTCCCCTTGCTTCTTTCTATTGAGAGAGATAACCCTTGATTCAAAAACTTGATTTGGCCTCTTGCCTCATTTGATATAGGCCCAAGTATCCAAATATACCATTTTTGGGTAAAAAACTAGTCAAAAAGAACTATCCAGTGGTCACGATGGCGTCATCGACGGAAATCCAGGGATCAGAACTTAAACATGCGGAGCAAGTCGGATCAACGTAACCATGTTTGAGATCGGGCGTGGCACACCCTTATTGAAAGTATCGCAGAAGGGTTCCCGACATGGTCATGCCTGCGTCTCGACGTAATTATGTTGGGCGGTTTGTTAGGCCGGCATGGTCATGCCACTATAGGCTGTGTTGCAACCTGTGGAGAATTGGGTGTGGCATGCCTGAAAGGGGCATAATTAGCCAAAATCTCAGTTTGCTCAGCGTGGTCATGCCGCTCTCGGGCGTGGTCATCTTAAGGGAGGAGGTTGCCATGATTGGCGTGGCTTAGAACATGGCTACCCCCATTTTGAGCGTGGTACACTAAGAGTTAAATGTGGCCACACTGGATCCTTAGGCCCTTTTGTCCTCCAGAAATACATTGTGGAGCGTGGTACACTAAGAGTTAAATGTGGCCACACTCATTTTAGCCATGGTCATGCTGGATCCTTAAGCCCTTTTGTCCTCCAGAAATACATTGTGGGGGGTTTTTATGACCAATTTGAGCTGCAAAAAAGCCCTAAATGGCTGGATTGGAGCTTGCAAACATTAGAATGGTCGTAAAGTTCACCCTAAATCGAGGAACTGATGACGATCGACGGTAAGCGCTTCTGAGCACGACCAAGATGAGATGAACCTTCAATCTGGTGCATAAAGTGCCCGTTGATGGCTCTACAGACTCATTAAGCTATGAGAGGGTTCTTAAGCATGTTACACACTCCCATAATATCGAAATTATATCAAATATATGTGACATAAAAAATTGATGCCAACACTTCAATAAAAATATAATATACCTAAAAAATTTATAAATCGACGAATACTTCAATAAAAAATACGGAATATAATGATGCTAATGTATAGGGAGTTTCGTTATTCTTTACATTTTAAAATGAGCCCTAATCGGCGGTGCGCATTCGCGGCTTCGCTCTCGCGTAGCAGATAAGTTGACCGGCGCCGGCTTTGTTCGGGGTGGGTAGCCTTCGGAAACTGCTCATTTCATTTTTCATCGCCATCACCCATTCCACACTCCGTCTCCTCCATCCTTTTCGTTGAGCGAAGCCCTAGTTTCGTTATCTATATTCCTTCCACACTCAAAGCGTTTGGGAGGACTCCGTCGAGGCTACGACGATGTACTCGGTCCGCGACCGCCTCTACTTCGGTAACATCAGTGCTGCCGCCAAGGTTCTTCAGAGCGGCAGCGCCGAGATCACTCACGTTCTCTCCTTGCTGAGCTCCGCTTCTATCTCCTTCTTCTCTGACTGGCGTGCAGATGTTTCGATTCGCACCCAGGAGGTGCGGAAGGTGTTCGCAGGAGAGGCCGGCCAAGGTTTGGCCAAGAATTCCCTGTCGCCGGAGAAGCTCCTATATGTGCTAGAGCACGCTGGCCCGGGTCTCAAGCTCTTGAGAATGGCGGTGCCGCTACGGGACACGGAAGATGAGAACTTACTGGATTATTTGGACATTTGTCTTGACTTTATAGACCAGGGGCGGAAAGATGGGGCTGTCTTGGTGCATTGCTTCGCGGGAGTTTCAAGAAGGTATGGAGCATGATGAATTTCGGAAATATTTTTTAATTTTCGTTATATTGCTTCTTAATCTTCTAAATATAGTCAAGTGGAACTTTTGAGCTTATGTTTATTTTAATCTTATATTTAAATGTTGATAGCGTTCATAGTATGCTTTAATTCCTTCTACTGTTGCGCCCTAACTTTTTTTGGGGCCTTTACATGCATTTCACCCAATTCCTATGTATTTACATAGCTAATACCTAAAATTTACTTTTTATATGAATACCACCCAAATCTTTCATATCACTTAAAAAATGCCAATATTTTAACTTATCAAAAGTGAAATGCACTTTTTCATGCATGGGTAAGATGTCCTATATGTAAAAATTGTTGCTTAGATGTTAGAAATGTAAATACACCGGAATTAACTGTTATGCGTGGAAATCTTCCTTTATTTTCCTTTTTTCATAGCATGACGACTTGATCTTCTTGAGTTCGTGCTTGAGCTAGAATTTTGTGTTTCTATCTATAGTGAACTGTAGGATTGATTTTTATATTGTATTTTAAGTTATTTATTTATTTTTTAAAATTACTGTGCCTCACAATCTTTATCAACAACCTCGATCGAAGCAAGTGGCGAGGAAGCTGTTGTCGAGCGTCACTGATCGAAGTACGGTAGTTGTCGAGCAGCCTTGATTGAAAAGAATCATCAAGCACCCCTAATCGAAGCAAGGGAGTTTTCGACGCCATCTGGAGTTTCAACTCGAGCAAGGGCACGATCCAGAGTTCGGTACATGGCTTCCATGCAATCTTTGACGTGATCCAGAGTTTCGATTTGAGCTAAGGGACGATCCAAAGCTTCAACTTCAGCTAGGCACGATCCAATGTAACTTCCACGCGATCTCCCTCGGGATTCAGAGCTTCAACGTGAGCTAGGGGACGATCCAGAGCATCAACGCGAGCTAGGGGACATTCCACGTGTGTGGATTAAGGGGTTAGACCTTCGTGGTTTGCCCTATTTATTTTTAAATGGGGTATTTACATACATACCATCGAGTTCCTATGCATTCAGTAGATTAGTGTGTGAGATATGTAAATAGAATTGTATGCTATGGGTAATGCATGTAAATGCTCCATTATCCCTTTACTATATATATATATATATATATATATATATATATCTATATATATATATATATATATATATTAAATGTTTGTAATTTTTGCAATTGGATTATTAGGATAATGGCTGCTATAAGTGTCTCTAACAATCTTATAGAGGATGAAACAAAGCTTTTATTGGCATATGTCACCAAATTAGAGAAATTGAAATTAATCAGAATAAGAGGCAATGTAGAATTTTAATGTTATTTTTGTCAATAAAAGTTCAAGTGAATATATTCTAGGGTTAGAGCACACTTGCTTCAACAATCTGAAGTTGATCTTTGAGCATGCTCTAAAATAAATTCGACACAGTTTCAAGAATTTCAAAATTTGGATGCTGATGGAGATCAGAAAAAGAAGATTGTCGCATTTAAGAAGGTTTCATTTTTTTTTCTTCCAGACAAAGTGTTTCTAATCAGATGTATAGCTCTCAGTCAAATGTGCATTTATTTAGAACAATAAGGTTATAATTATAATCATAAAAAAAAGAAAAATGTCGGACAATAGTGCTGTTGAAAGAGCATTTAATTTACAAGCTAGAGAAAATTTACATGAAGAAATTGCTCACAAGTTTTATTTTGTAGCTCTTTCATTTCATTTGACAAGAAATCTATATTATTTTAGTGTGTTCTCGTATGCAATTAACAACGCAATCACTAGATATATTCTTCCTTGTCATAATCTAAGAAGAACTATCTTGCTTTAAAATTAGAGAGTATATGTTGAGAGAATGTTTGAGTCTATAAAAGAGATTAGAATGAGAAAGGAAACCATAATTTTGATGGTTGGACAGATGTTCAAAGAAGACCTCTCATTAATTTATGACCGTTATTAACATTTAATTTGCTAACTAGAGATCATTTACATAAAGAAATTGCTCACACATTTTATTTTACAGCTATTCTATTTCATTTGACAAGAAATCCATATACTATTTCAGTTCATTTTTATATACAACCAACAACACAATCATTAGATATATCCTCCTGATTATAATCTGTCAAGAACATCTTGCTACAATAGGGGAGAGCACATGGTGAAAGAATGCTTGAGCTTATAAAGGAGACCTGGAATGAGAAAGAAGTTACCATAACTTGTGATTGTTAGACATATGCGCAAAAAGACCTCTTATTAATTTTATTGTCATTACAAAATCTGGATTAATGTTTATAAAAATTACTCACCCTGAAGGGGCATATAAAGATAAATTTTACATTGTCAATGAAATTAAATAAGTAATTTTGGGTGTAGGTTCAGATAAAGTGGTTCAAGTAATCATTAATAATACACCTATTTGCAGAGGTGTAGGAGCATTGATTGAGGCTCAATATCTTTATATTTTTTGGATTTCTTGTTTTTTTTATACATTGGACTTAGTATTTAAAAATATATTTGCTTCAATAAATATAGAAGGAAATGAGGTAATTTACGAGCAATGTAGTTGAATAATTGACATTACAGAAAATATCACTTTTATAAAAAAATTGTTATGATTCATTCAATGAGATTATCAATATTCATTGAGTTTGTAAAGATGAAATCGTTGGTCATTGCAGAGACGCGTTTTGCATCAAATATAGTTATGTTTAGGAGATTCAAAGCAATCAAATAAGGGCTACAACTAATGGTAATCATTGACAATTGGAATATGTATCGTGAAGATGATACAACAACAACAAAATCTTTATCCCACTAAGTGGGGTCGGCTAAATGAATTCTTTAGACAATTGTATAAAAATGATCTTAATTTGTTAGAATTAAGTAGATATAAACAAGACAAAATTTGCGAAGGAAAAAAATCTTAGATGATGTGAGGTGGGATAAAATTAATTATATTTTTGATTTTACAGAATCTTTATATGGCATGTTAAGATTGGCTAATAAAGATAAATAGTCTCCACCTATGATATGTGGGATTCTATGATAGAATAAGGTGAAAAGTACTATATATCGACTCGTGGGAAAGAGAGACAATGAAGACCTGAATTTTTATTAAATTGTACATGTAATTTCAGTAAAATGATGGAATAAAAACAACACTCCTCTTCATTGTTTAGCTCTTTCTCTCAATCGAAGGTATTATTTGATTCGATATTTATTCTTTATTAATCAAAACTTCTATTAATTTTTATTTTGTAAGTGCATTTATTCTTAGCTATTATAATCATGCTTGGCTAAGTGAAGCTCCAACTCGTGTTGCTTTACATAAGATATAGAGATATCAATTGAGAGTAATAGATGTTTAAAGAGGATTTTCCTAAATATTGAAGAAAGATCGATTGTTAATTTTTTTCATTTAAGTGAAGCTCCAATTTGTGTTGCTCTACATAAGATATAGAGATATCAAGTGAGAGTAATAAATGTTTAAAGAGGATTTTCCCAAATATTGAAGAAAGATCAATTGTTAATTTTTTAGATTTAAGTGAAGCTCCAACTTGTGTTGCTCTACATAAGATATAAAGATATCAATTGAGAGTAATAAATGTTTAAAGAGGATTTTCCCAAATATTGAAGAAAGTTCAATTGTTAATTTGGTGTTTGTTAATTTTTGGTGCTTTCGCTGATCACGACTCCCTAATTTTTAAGTTTTATGGATGGAAAGACGTGGTGGATGATTTATGGAGCAAGTTCTCTACAACCGTGTTTATCTTCTTGTTGTGAAAGAAACTGGAGTACATGTTATTTTGTCAATTCACTTAAGAGTAACAAAATCACCCCACAATGAGGTGAAGATTCTGTATCTTCATACCAATCTCCGTCTTCCATCTAGGAAGAGCCTGGAATATTCTTAGGACACAAAATTTTGGGATGTTGGTGGAGTTGTCTTGGCCACAATGAATGATATTGGAATGAGCCATTCTTAGAAATGGTGTTTTTCGTTGATGAAGGTGAATGTGCCATTGATGACAATGATTAGGGCAATAGAGCTAGTAGTGATGATGACACCATTGTTGAATGCATTGACTCTAATTAGTGATAATTATATTATTATATTTTGACATTTTGCTAGTGGATGACATTGGTATTAAGTGTTTTGGTAATTTTTTGATATTTTGAATGGAATATTGATATTTTTAAAAATAATTTCTATCATTATAAAATTTTCTTAATGATTCCATTTGTTATTTTTTGACTGTCTTTAATGGAAAATATTAAAAATATATATTTATATTAATAATTTATTAAATATGAAAAACGTGTCTATGCTGCATTGTGTTTTATTTTTAATAGTTTTGCCATGTCTTTGTATAGTACCGTGTCCTATCTGTGTCGCCATGTCCGTGCTTCATAGGTTTTCTGATTAAACATTTTACTTTGTTATTCTGATTGTGGCATTGGTTCAATATATCCTTTACTTCGTTTTATTTTTTGGTGATTTATATGATGTTTTTGAACTGATGCGCACGGTTGATAGGTTTTTGTTATTTTTCTTGCTTCTTTCTTTATGTACAGGAGTTGGTAGACAAGCTGTTAGGGCAAAACAACATAAACGATAGTTATAGATGATGAGGATTTCTGGCTAAAAGCATGATAGTTGTCAAAATATTTTTCAAAATTTTTGAAAGAGTTGATTTTGTCGACTGAGTTGCTTGATGCAAAAAAATTTGGATGTAGTGCTATAGTTGGTTTTTGTGGTCGTAAAAACATGAATTTGCTGTTAACATCACACAAGTGAGCTGTTGTAATTGTATCACATGCTGAAAATTGAAGAATTTCAAATGTTTTTTTTTTTCTTGAATTGGGAATACTGTCTTCAAGGTTTCTTGACAGCTTTTTTTGTTCTTCTATCTACTCCATCTTCACTACTGATTTTTTTCTGCATTCTTGTGTTTCCTGCAGTGCTGCTATCATCACGGCATATCTGATGAGATCAGAACAAAGATCTCAGGAAGGTTTGGAGAATTCTTTTTTTTTTCTAGTAAACATATAAATTAAAAGCAGGGTTTCTTACCTATATCATATATCCTTGTTTTTTCTGTACTGGATTGTTGTGTTTCAGATGCACTGGATTCTCTACGGAAATGTTGTGAGTTTGTTTGCCCAAATGATGGTTTTCTTGAACAGGTATTATCAGTTTTATCTTATGTATTGGTGATGCAGGTGCTCATCCGTGTTTAGCAGAATTTTGACTGACTATTTCTTGTCGTGACTACAGTTAAAACTATTCGAGGAAATGGGTTTTAAAGTAGATACTGCTAGCCCCTTATACAAGCGGTTTCGCTTAAAGGTATTGGGTAAGTTTATTGCTGTCAGATTTATATCTTTATGAGCTTTTTATATGGTACTGTCTCTGGTTTTGTAATCTTGCATCCTTTTTAAGATGTATTTATATAAACTTCGATGCATGATAATTTTCTATGGATGTCATCATGAGTTGAATGTAGTAACCTCTCTCTTAAGTTCTCACTAAAACTGTCATCAAGAGTATTAAACCTTCAAGTTTTCATGGCACAATTAATTTTTCCGTTTTTAAATAATAGATACCTGGAAAAACTTGACAGTAAATACATTTGGCTAAAATTTGTCGTCACTATCAAATAGTGAAGTTAGCGCCTGTTTGGGGCAGAGGCGCGGCGCTACGCGTACACGCAATTCTGCGTCATTTGGGGCTGCGATGGCAGTAAAACATCGCGGCAGAATTTTCCGCGTTTTAGCGAAAACACGTGCTGTGGGTTTGACCCCGCGACCCGTGCTTCTTCGTTACTTTTTTACTCGTCCTTCGCGTTTTCTTCCCCGCTCCCCTCTCGTGCCCCAAACGGATTATTCTGTTCGAAGAACTCGGAATGGATTCCCGGCTGTTGATGGCGAAAGAGCGGGTTCCGCTCCTCAGCTCACTCTCGCCACTGATCAATAGTAGTAGCGGTGGCGTTGCCTCGGCAGAGGACGGGTAGATTCTTCCCGACCACCACCACTCCCCTCCCCCTGCACCTGTCATCTCTGTGAGCCATTCAGCGAAGCCCTTCGGTCCAAACCAGCGGCTCGCCTCTCTTGACGTCATTCGCGGCTTCACAATTGCTGTAATTTTTATAGAATTGTATAGATGTTTATTGCAATCTCTAATATCCTGTAAAATTTCAATGCCTTGCTTCTATGCAGCTCATGATTCTCGTAGACAATGCCGGCGGAGTAAGTCAATGGTGATGATAGAAATAAGAGAACTGAAAAAGGATTGTATCTTAATCAAAACTTCTTTATAGTTTTAAGTATATATCTGCCTATATAAGCAAGAGTGGAAAAAAATAAAAATAAAAATGACAGTCTCCTTAATAATACTAATGCAACAATAATAAACAGTGTAGATTTCTATTATAAGTAGTTATTATGTGTGATAATTTAGATGTATGGTAGCATTTCTACGAAAAGTTGCATATAAGATGTCATAATTTGAGTTTGAAAAGAACAACGATCAGAGATGAAGTAGTCGAAGGTTCTGTTGTTTGAATATTATTAAATGTAATTTTTGAAAGTGTTTTTTCGTTTTTTCAGCAATCTTGATACTCATTGTTAAGTGAGGTATATATCTAGTTTTTTGTACTATTATGAACTGAATTTTTACTTATGAAGTATCAAATATATGGTTGTTACAGTTTTGTTATAAACAAAATTACTACATAGGGGCAAAACGATCTTTTGTCCAGAAACAACCTCCGCACAGTTGTTTTCAAACTGTAGAAAACAAACAACCAGCTAGTTTTCCCGCTGCAGCTTCCCCGCAGTAGCTTTCTGGGGCAGCTAAACAGCAACAGCTTATTTATAAGTTGCAGCTGCTCCAAACAGAGCCTATCTTTATGATAATACTATCATCTTACTGCCACCACAAAAAGTTAAGGATATTATTACCACTTGCCACCTTAGAAATCAAAACTGTTATAATAATCACGTTACGCTAGCTTCTTGGGATTCATGAGGCCTAATTTGATATATCTCAATTTGAACTTTACATTGTCACAATCTTCATATTTAGGTTGAATAAAGATAGAATGCTTTGTATTAGCAGAGCAGAAAACTAAATGTATAATATTGTAATTTTAGTGCCTGTTTTATCAATAACTATCACTATGTATTTCAGAGGATAAAATGATGTGTAGTTGAGTTTAAGCATCTTGGTTCTACCTTATAAAAATAATTGAAATATAGCTTTTATATTTAAATCTTGATGGTTAAAATGGAAAAGTTATTTTGCATGCGATAATTTACTATAATATAGATTTAAAGGCTATGTAATAAAATTATAGTTTTTGTCTTGTAAACTACAAATTATGGTTAGAATGTATTGAGAACTATAATGAATGATTGGATCAGAGGAAACATTGGAGTATCATCTATTGAAGATAAATTAATGGAGAATATACCTAGATAATTTGGATGGACAATGAAGGGTGGAAAATGAATGAAGATGTTGGGGAGATAAATTATTGATAGAGGGTTAACGAGTGAGAAGGGTAAACCAATGTTAACTTTGAATGCTTCTAGTGTTTATGAACTTGAATATAATACTTCCAAGAAGTGTACTGTATAAAGAGTATTTCATAGTGACATGTTTTTGAGGACTCTATAATTTTGAATTGAGGTTTATGCTAAACACCATAATCTATTAGTCTTGTTGATCACAAAAGATAATTATTAGTTAAGTTAATTTTCAAACTGTATTAGTTGTGATTGCTTTCTGCATGGTCCAATTTATTGCGACGGTGTGGAGAGATGTTGCGTACAAAGTTGAAGTGGGAGGAATCATGAAATTTTTTAACAAAGTCACATGTTTCTTTCATTTTGATTTGGTATGGACCTTCGTTCATTTAATTAGAGATGGTAGCTAACCCATCATGACCGAAGTATTATTATCCTCGGTCATTAGTTACTTCATCCAAGGGTATTTCATAGATTAGGGATAGAAAATTTTTTCAAGTGTGTCAATTGTATAACAAAAGTTAGCGAATAAAGGTTGTGTTCTATTAAGTGCATCACATGGCTCACGTCTTATGGACTTGGCCATGGGTGATATCCAACCTTTTGCCTCATTCTCCAACTAAGAAAATATTTTTGGGATGACCATGTAACTCGAAGGGACTTGCCACATTCTTTTTGACATTAGACTTTTACGTGTGATCATATGGCTACATTGATTTGACATTAGATTCTTTTTAAGCTCTTGGTTGTCTTTGAACTTTGTCACCTCTGACAAGTTTCAGGCCTAAAGCACATGAGTTGCTGCTATGAGCACATAGCAATTGTTGTTGCTTTTTGAACATTAAAAGAAACACACACACACACACACACACACACATATATATATGCGTATATATATATGCGTACCTACCTACCTACGTACATACATACATACACATACTTACATACATACACACACGCAGACGCACAGACACACACACAATAAAAAAAACACACACACACACACACACACATATATGCGTATATATATATGCGTACGTACCTACCTACGTACATACACACATACACAGACGCACAGACACACACACACAGACGCACAGACGCACAGACACACACACAGACGCACAGACACAGACATACTGACATACTGACATACTGACATACTGACAGACAGACTCACAGACACACACACAGACATACATACATACAGACATACGGACATACAAACAGACACACACACACACATACACACAGACACACAGACAGATAGACAAACATACTGACATATAGACATACTGACATACATATATACAGACAGACAGACAGACATACATGACACACACACACACATACACACAGACACACAGACACACTGACAGATAGACAGACATACTGACATATAGACATACTGACAGACAGACAGACAGACAGACAGACAGACATACAGACATCACACACACACATACATACAGACACACACACATACACACACACACATACATACAAACAGACGCACAGACATACAGACAAACACACACACACACACACAGACACACATATAGACAGACACACACACACAGACACACACACACACAAACATACATACACACAGATAGACAGACAGACACACACACACACAGACATACATACACACACACAGACACATCTAAGGATTGTTTTTATAAATCTAATACTCTCCCTTAAGTTGAATCTGTTAGTTGACCACTTAAGGGTACAAAAGGAACACAAGTTTCCTGGACTCAATTGTTTTTTTAATGAAATATTAGTCAATCTCCACATGCTTGGTACACTCATTTGTGAGCAATGTTGTTGTCGGTTTTATTATTACATACACACACACAGACACATCTAAGGATTGTTTTTATAAATCAAATACTCTCCCTTAAGTTGAATCTGTTAGTTGACCACTTAAGGGTACAAAAGGAACACAAGTTTCTCTGGACTCAATTGCTTTTTTAATGAAATATTAGTCAATCTCCACATGTTTGGTACACTCATGCTAGATTGAATTGTGAGCAATGTTGTTGTCGGTTTTACTATCGAATAGCTACAGCGGAACGAAGGTTGACATACAAAATTTGCGGAGTATGATGTGTAACTAGAGCTTCTCATATTCCCAATTACATGGATTGGAATTCAACTTTAGAACTGCACCGGACAACCAAAAATTGTTTTTTGTTTTTCCACGTAACAAGATTGCCCCATGAAATGAGCAATACCCTGAGGTGGAACGTCGATCATGAACTAACCTTAATCAATCATCATCTATATAAACATCAATAGATCGAGAGATGTGATAAGAGAAAAACAAACCTGAGCTCAGTGTATCTTTTAAATAATGGAGAATCCGATGTATAACTTGGAGATAGTGCGCATAGGGGGCATGTATGAATTGACTTATTATATCAACTGCGTGACGTGACATATATTGTGGGGGCGAGGTAGATGACTTTCTTCACAAGACGCTGGTGATGAGTCTTGTTGATATGCACAACATTGGGAATGTAAAATAATTTTCCATTCGGATCTATAGGGACAACCATTGGTTTTCACAAAGGAAGGTTGTTCTCCGTCAATAAATCAATCATATATTTGCGCTGAGACAGACAGATTCCCTGAGACGACCAATCTACTTTCATGCTTAAGAAGTGTCAGAGAGATCCCAAGTCCTTCATTTCAAAGGACTTAGCAAGAACATCTTTCAAGGATTCCAATGCTGGTACATTGTTACCTATAAGAACAATATTGTCAACATGGACAATAAGGATTGCTACCTGACCACTGGAGGATTTTCAGAAGAAGAATC